ATTGGTGGTATTTTTCTTACATTGGCTCCTCAGATGTCCTTGCTCCCCACAATTCCAACAGCCTTTCTTGGTAGCAGCCTTTACTGCTGTATCATCTCCCCTGTGTTGAAGTTGCCAGCATTGAGTTCTCTTGTGCCCAGGTTTGTTACAGTGCCAGCAAAGTCCCTCAAACTTCTCTGAAAGCTGTCCTTTTCTGGCCTTGAATCCAACCTCGGTACCTCTGTGCTGGACTTAACGTAGGAATCAAATTCGAGAGCTCTGGCCATTGCATCCTACACGGTAGAGGGGTGTGCTTGTTTCACTTGTATCTTAAGTTGTGGACTGTCCAAGGCATCTACGAACTGATCCCTCAGCAACAACTTGAGGAGATCGGGTGGTGCAGTTGGGTAGGCCTTGTGTGCCATGCTTTCCAAGTCTTGGGCCAGCTCTTGCAGGCTCTCCCCTTTAGCACGGATTCTCGTCCTAAACCTAGCACTGTAGACTTCTGACTGATTCTGGGTTCCGTACCTGAGTTCCAGAGCCTCTACCAGTGCTCTATAGTTGTGTCTGTCGGCTGCTGTCAGCTGTCCAAGTATTTCCAGTGGTTGTCCCTTCAAGCTCGTTGCCAGATATACAGCTTTCTGCTCCTCTGTCCATCCATTCACCTCTGCCAGTAGCTCAAATTGTGCTCTATATGCTTCCCACGGTGCCTTCCCATCGAATTCCTGTGGCTTCCTTGGCACTGGATCATTCCTTTTACTGACATTCATATGTGGGATGTGACTTCTAACGGGACTGAATATGTCTGCATTAGTGTTTAGCTGCGGGCTCTGTAAGGGGCTTGCCATTGTCTGGGGCTGATTAAGTCGATGAAAGTGGCAGCTCGAACAACAAAATAAACAAGAAGAACGAGAAAAGAAACAAGAAGAGAGATTACAACAGTTGTTGGAAGAAAAAGAAAAGAAACAAGAAGAGAAATTACAGCATTTGTTGGAGGAAAAAGAAAAGAAACAAGAAGAAAGACAACAGCAGTTACAAGAAAACCTACAACAATGGCAGCTCGAACAGCAAACTAAACAAGAGAGACTACAGCAGTGAATGGAGGAGAAAGAAAATAAACAAGAAGAGAGATTACAGCAGTTGTTGGAGGAAAAAGAAAAGAAACAAGAAGAGAGATTACAGCAGTTGTTGGAGGAAAAAGAAAAGAAACAAGAAGACAAATTACAGCAGTGGCAACTGGAACAAGAAAGGAAACAAGAAGTACAAATGGAAAACATTAGTAAACTTAAAAGCGAATTAGATACGTTAAAGGACGATCTATTGACTTTTACACAAGGAGGATACATTGAGTTGCAGGTTTTCTTGCAACTGCTGTTGTCTCTCTTCTTGTTTCTTTTGCTGCTCTTGTATTGCTGCCATCAAGTCTGCTAAGCTGTAGTTTGATTTTCCGCTTCTTGTTTCCATTTTTTTTGTCCCACTCTCTGACACCAATTTGTTACGTCTCCGTTCGTTAGTTAATTTTCCGTAAATTCGTTCCGACGAAACTTGAGCGACACAAGTCCTTTCTTAAACAAAACTGGTTTATTCTTTCCGAATATAACTTTACGATACACTTAATTTCAACAGTCGCTCTATAACAAACGTTGTAATTCTCAACGAAGGTCTCACGTGCTCGTGCTCAACAATACTCAGTTCAATTACACACATTGTTCCGTCACGTTGTGACTGTCTTATATATACAAGACTAACACATATCTAGTAAACGCTAGAGCATTCATTAAGGAACAGGATATTTCTAGAAGGACGTAGTGTGATACTAGTCACGTGACCTCGCTGACGCAACAATATATAAGCCCGGCAAAGAATAGCAGACAGGGAGATATAGAGACAGATAATAGGGTCAAGTCGTAAGTAAAGTGCGTGAATCGTTGTGAATTATAGCGTGTGTTTAAGTTAAAGTGACTGTGGAAATTAAGTGTATTGCAAAGTTGTATTGAGAAAGAATAAACTAGTTTTATTTAAGAAAGGACTCGTATCTCTGAACTTCTTCGGAAAGAATTTTTATGGGAAATTAAACTAGAAAAAATGTTTCAATTCACTCATATATTTTTGTGGTTTATGAAGCTTTTAAAGACAGTAGAAGACAGGTTTTCAACAATCTAAATCTCTGGAAACAGACATAGTTTGGTATAAAAACTCACTTTTACACCTGTAAGTACATTTAGCCGGCACTCAAACAAACTAAGCCCACTACCCAGTACTTGTTGTAACCATAAGCAGATCATAATTTAAACTTATTTCGTTTAGTTTTTGCTTTACGTACTTTTGTTTGCTTTGTTTGTTGATCTTTAACCTACTCAAGTTCAAATTCTATTTGAACTTTAAATTTTTTCAATAATGGTCGGACATGGCTCTAATAGTAGATCCAGTGAAAACTGGTGAATTCTTGACTACATAAAAACTAGGACGATAAAATAAAACCCGAAACTTGAAACTGGCTGATTCATCAACGTTAACTAACAAGATTTTAGCGTTTCGGTTCGTTGATTTTGTTGTGAATTATCAGTAGGAATATTATTGACAAACTATAGAAATTTAATTCTTTAATTAAGCTCACATAGCTGTATTACATTTCTGTGCGTACGTGTTTATTATTATTATTAACATTGACTTTTCTAGGTTAGTTTCTTGTTGCCTTTGCTTAGTACAAGTGATTCCACGCCAGCTGCCAGCTGCTACATGACGTCACAAACTTATTAAGAAGGACAAAGAGCATGTGTGAAGTGGCTGAGAACCGTTACAGCCACTTTCGAAGCACGTGTTACCGGTTCAGTCTGGCGTCAGTGCCTTTTCATTTAACAACGTCTTTAAACATATCTAGACAGATACTGAGAGAGACAGCGAAAGACAGTCTATCACTAGAATCGCTTTCTATGAACAGAGTAATTAACAAATTTTATTCTGTTTTTTACAAAACTTACAAAGTGTGGCAGAAGATAGATCTCGGATATTTTGTTAATATTCAAATTTGAAAAGCGTAACACTTTATAGTGATGGATGATTGTGTTACCAAAAAGAATATCCTGGAGAACAGTGGAAATATTCTCTTGGAAATGACATCAGAATATCATAATTTACCATCACCAGGTGTCTTGATGCAAGAAATAAGTCGGGCCTGTGGGTTTGATGAACCAGAAGACTGGTCGTTATATTCTGGTATGTATTATAGTTGTTCCAAAATTAAAAGTTGTAGAAGAATGAACAAAGTTAATATAACGTGTTATTATAAAAAACGTTGAGAATATTCTCCATACAGGTGTAGACTTCCGAAGTTACTATTTTATATATTGTGACTCCAGACACTCAGATCATAGTTTACGTGATCATTCTTTTACTACCAAATTCGCCTGCAATTAAGTCTATAAGATTAGTATTAATTCTGTTGGCATGCTTCCACTCGAATTAGAATATTGATGCTTCGATTAATGTGCTGATTTATTTCATTAGCTCTGTCATGAAATCTGCTGCTTCCTCTTAACGAGTGAGAGTATTATTTTTCAAGCTGTCTTGCGTACGTTATTTTTTGTATTCTTTGGCTTTGATTTATTTCTTACAAAATAAATTGAAAGGCCGGTAAATAAAATGTCTCGCACGTAGTAAAATTATTTCAACGCAAAATTACACAATAGGATGTCTATGCTCTGTTCACCGCAGGAAATCGAATCCTGTATTTTAGTGTTGTAAGTCTGTAAACTTACGTTCCCAGGTGGGTCAGCAATAGATGCCCATACTTACAACGTTGCAAGACAGGTTTTGATTCCCTGCTGTGGACAGAGCGCAGATCTCCCATTGTGTAGCTATGCGTTAAATCACATACAAACTTAACATTGCCCCACGGGGAAACCACATGTGACAAAATAATTAAGTTTTGAGTTTCTAATGACAAATCTTGTTGCCATGCGCGAAACAGTGGATTTTAAGATAAAGCTACAACTGTTCTTATAAAGTAATTAAACGTTCGATTCAAGTAGTTTTATATCTTAGAATTTTTTATTCATTCTAGTACTTAATTATTCATTATCAGTTTCGTAATTTCCATGAAAGTTTGACAATTAAAAAATAAATTTTCTTACAGTTCCTAAATTTTGTTATTTTCACAAGTTTTACGTTACCTTTATATTTTTTAAAATATCAAACTGTTTTGTGTTGTTTAACCCTCCCTCGGATGATTGGTAAGCTTTAGATCACACGTTAGACGTTTCGATTAAAGTTACAGTGACCAGCTATTTCATTATTATTATTATTTTATTAATGATATTAGTAAGATTAGCTGCTATTTTCTCTTATGACTGCTGTCGTGATATCCTTCGATGTTCTTTTGAACGGTAGGGCAAAGTTTTAATTAATGCTACTTATTTTTGAAATTTTAACTTACATGGTTACTACGGTAGCTGTCGTGAATGTTTTTATTTAAAGCTCTTAATTTTTCTTGGCAGTCACGCTTGTAGGCTTACGTTATATGATACAGTGACAAAACATTTAATTAATTTTTATCTTTAAAACACATTACTAAGCATTTCAGGGAAAAGGGACAGAGAAAATGTAAATTTGCAAGTGCAATAAACTTATGCTTAAAAGTGCATACAAACAACTAATTGAAAGTAATATAAAAATAGTGATTTATTTCCGTAAAGATGTTGTACAATAATAATTAAAGGAAAAATGTGGTTTGCCTTTCAAATGAACTCCTTTGAAAAACGAGCAATGAAATTTTATATGACGTCAACTGTAAATGTTGAATTCGTTTTGAGTTTACTTACTGATTAAATATTAGTTTTGTTACAAGTTACAGCTTTTACAGTAAGGAAGATTGTTTTTTAGAAGAGATATGGCGTTTCGATCACTGGTGCGATAATTCTCAAGTACACAAGTTTTAACGGTAAAGAAGATTTAAATATACCTTCTTTAGTATGAATGTTGAATCTAATTAAAAACAAAACGATGGCAAAAGTAGAGTATTTTGATTATACTGTTGTTTTTGCAAGGCACAGCAAAATGTTTTAAAATACCATTCCTCAGACGTCTTTATCGAAGAACGAATCAGTCACTTTTGTTATTAGACACCTGGTGGTGTTCACATTACCTGCCTTGTGAAGTGATATATGTACTAAAACATATACGCAGCATCCTGAACAAACAAAGTGAGTTTTAGCTTAAGAATAACATGTTTAAAACAATAGAGATAAAAAGAAACACAATACAATGTAAAAAAGTGTGAGTCGTAGATGGAAATATATTGAAAAAAGTATGGAATACTGAAAAAGTTGTAAGCGTTACCAACACATGAAGTTATCACTGTACTATGATGGCGAAGCAGTTAGTTTTTCACCATGAACGAATTTAATCTTCATTTCAATAGTAATCAAAACTGTATAAATTCGTATCAGCAACTGCATTATTCTGTACAGTAAAATATCTTCCTATTTAATAATTCACGTTGTGTATTTGTGAATTTTTTTGACCGCGAACTCTTCCTATACCTTTTAAGCTATCAGGATCCAAACTGGCAGGCAGACTCGGGGTGGGGTGGGGGTGGGGGGTCCTTATCTGTATAGTGTTGTCCCCTACTAAGAAAGAACATTAGAACCAAGGGGATTAAGCACTACAGAAAGTCAACCAGACATAATGGGGATTTAGGAGTAGGTCTGTGGGGTAACTGAGCCCGAATCTGGCATTATATTTAGTGTCCCTGGTCCCCCCCCCCTGGTATCCTGAGGGCCCCATGTTTGAAACTGTGTTTATACCCTTACTCATAATCTAGGGGAGTAGCTCCCAACCTGGGGTCCGCGTAGGTAATACCATCTCATTAAACAAGTAAGTTTTTAATACTGATGTTCTTTTTAATTGCACACTCAGTTATATATGTCTTTTATTTGATTGTGAAAAGTGGGAGAACGAGTTAATTATTAGTTAATAAAAACAGTTTGTTGGGTCGGCGGAATCTTTCAAATACATGGGGTCCGTGGGGGAAAAAATATAATAAAGGGGTCCTTGGTGGAGCAAAGGTTAGGAACCACTGATCTAGAAACATGGCATACGCGTTTATGTACAATGGGTAGATATCCTGACAGGGTTTGTTTTTGGATATAGATCCTGTCTCATTAGAAAAGCTATATAAGTAATTGGGAATAACGGAGGAACTTGATCGATCCGTTGATGCCTCTGTGTAGCATGAGTGGGCCTTTGGACCCCTCAGCAGAGTGCTAGTATTTTACGCTAGTGAATATAAACCATAATTAGTAATATATGGAAACAAAATTGTGTATTATCCACACAAAGTATGGGAATACATGCGTGCTATTTCAAACACGTATTAAACGCTTCTAAACGTTCAGTGTCTACTTTTCATAAAGATGTCTATCTACCCCTGAAATCGAATCTAGTGGCTACTAATGTGAGATTATGTGGCTGATATTTAGTTACTTGTGTAAGATGTGACGATGTTCGCCGGTAGAAAGCTTGTTGAATGACACACAGACATATATATATGTATCACTTATTACTACATATACCCCAGGGCTACGGGTTAATATAAAGGAGTGCAAAACATTTTATAAGCCTCCTACATCTAATACACTGTACTGTAAGAAGAGCCGTTATCTGAAGTGTTAAAGCTGGGAAAGCACTATCAACCTACCAAAATCCAGAATAAAAGTAAAAACAAACGCCATTTGAAACATACATTTAAACATTTAAGTCATGCACACATGCTCCGATATTAAATGATATGTGATTCATTTCGCCTTTTACTATTTCAGTTACAATTAAAAGTCAGTATATAAACTTTCTTCACTATCATACGTGAACAACGTATGACAGTTTAATGAACTCAAATGGATTTCTATAATTTCTAAAGGCTTCTATTTACAAGTCAGTTAACACTAGAATTAACAATGTAGTTCATATGCACGGTCTTTTTTGAATGAAATATTTTCTAAACTATTCATACACCAAAGTAGTTGTAGTCCATCACATAGTCATTAATATCTTAAAAAATCAGAGATTGATGAACATGTTAACTTTAATGATGAAAGCACTATGTTCTATGATCTCTACTTAGCTGAAGATGAGGAAATTGCTGGTAGCATATCTGACAGTCGACGAGGTAATGCCATAGATTATTTAAATCTTTACAAAATTTGTATTATTCTTATAGACTTAGTCATAGTTAATGTTTGTGTTTGAGTATTTTAATGGTTTTCTAACCCCGAGGGTACGGTGTTAGTATATATATAAAGAAAACAACTAGGGCTGATTGCTGTGTTATGTAATTTTGCTGTTATCCCTCGTATTTCTTGTTTATTAGACTGTAAATGTATATACTTATGTTCTGTAGGTAATGTGACCTGGATGTTTAGTTAGGGCAGAATTGACCATTTTTGCTTATTTCCACGAATCCAAGACAAGTGACTACAATGATAAAAATTATTTGGTGTTTTATTAGTGAGAAGTTGGTTTGTTTTGAATTTCGCGCAAAGCTACAAGAGGGCTATCTGCGCTAGTCGTCCCTAATTTAGCAGTGTAATTCTAGAGGGAAGGCAGCTAGTCATCACCACCCACCGCCAACTCTTGGGCTACTCTTACCAACGAATAGTGGGATTGACCGTCACATTATAACACCCCCACGGCTGAACCCCCTAGCATGTTTGGTGGGACGGGGATTCGAACCCGCGACCCTCAATGTGCGAGTCGAGCACCCTACCCACCTGGCCATGCCGGGCTATTAGTGAGAAAAAGCATTATTATTATACATCATGTTAGCAGGTAAAATTGGAACGAATAGGTTAGTACAAAGTAATGCAAAAACGGAAGATTCGAAAAAAGAAAGACAAATATTTTCATAAAAATATCTATATCTATTACATACAGTCGAAACATGCTGAGGTCTTGCTTTGCTTCTAGCCAGCTTCTAAGCTTTAAAGTAACTTCTTTGGTTGTTAGAACTAGATGTTACCGTTCGACAACAGCCTTGATATCAATAGTAATGAAGGCAGATTTGGTCAACATGCTGGTACACATGTTTGGTTATCAAATGCTACCTGTTTACCGTTTAGTCAGCACTACATTATCTTAACTGATATTATGATATTACGCTATTTTATAATAATCGAGTTCTACACTCACTGTCAATATTTAGCTGTGTCCCCTGAAGAAGAGGAAGAGAACCTGAAGTATGTGGACTACTTGGAATACTTGAAGAATGTCATATTTCCTGGGGGACTACACCACTACAATTTCTCGGCTAACGCGAGAAGCCGTATTGTTGAAGCAGAAGAACAGCTTTTCCATCTCAGGAAACAAAGGAACGAGCTCCTGAGGAAAGAAAATGAATTGATCTACACGTGAGAATTTTGTTTTATTTTTGAGTAAATACTAATGATCTTTATATTTACGTTCTTTTGTGTGCATTATGTGTTTTAATCCATATCAGATGCTCGAATTTTGTCAAATAATTAAATTGCCATTTTATTTATATATGAACCTTTTTGTTCTTGACATTTAACGTTACAAACGCCCATTAGTTTTACTTTAGACTTTAGAGGGTCACTCTTGCTACTCGCCCAGACAAACCTTTAACGAAACAACAGTTCAGGGCATTATCGGGGTAACGAACATTGGCTCATGACGAATCAATTGTACATGTTTTTGATGGGCATGATTGTTATTGAACCCTGAACTGTTTTTGTTTAAGATATAGTCAAAGAGTGAATGCCATTTCCTTGCCTTCAATGTATTATTGAAGCTTTTATTGTCCATTCTGCATTTTAACATGTCTGAGCATGATTGTGATAGTTCTTTGCTTCGTGGGAAATACCACCTTTCAAAGTTTATAATTGTCATCATGTTATAGAATAATTATAATTAGTTAGTTATACCAGCCCAACGCAACACATAATATTTCAGTTAGAAAGATTGGTGTTCTATGCTCAAATATTTGTTGTGCATATAATTAAGCATTAAAAGGTAGATAGTCTTTACGGATTTTAAATACATAATTTGAGTGACTAGTAGTCATTTCATTTTTAAACATTAGTATCATATATTGAAAAAGGGGATTCAAAAATGTATTACTTAAAAATTTCCAACCTTTTTTATACATATATGACGAACCAAGTATATTATTATGATCAAAAGAAATATAAATCTAATTTAAAAAGGCCTAAGATAGCTAGAGTTCTTTTTTTAATGTAGTTTTCAAAACAACTACAACAGGCGACTTTTTGTACATTTTAAATTTTATTATATGTTTTCAGGCTGCATGACATACTTCTACAAGAAGAAAACGAAAGGTTACGAAAAGAAGTTCTTCCATTATCTGAAATACCAGGTAGCTATACATTTTTTACTTTTTCCAAAAATCTATTTTGATGATTCGTACTTTTAGTTTAAATGTGGTGTTGTATTACTTTTCGACCTTGTTTATATAGAATTGTATGTACGCAGTGTTAATTTTTCATTATTCTAATTTTACTTTATTAATTGATTTCTTTCTCTTAAAATATACTCTCCATATAAGTGTCCTCCAATGGGACGGCAGTAATTTTACGCACAAATCCTGGGTTCGATTCCCCGCGATGGACACAATAGATAGCCCAATGTGGCTGTGATCTGAAAGAAACTCCATAAATGTATTTTACCAAAGGGTATTTTATGTAATTCAATATTCACAAACAGCTGTTACTAATTAAATTACTTACATCATTTTCTTGTCATTTATCAAATACAGGTGTTATTTTAAATTAACAGATAACTCGTTTTATATTTAATTTAATGCCACCCTCCAATGGCTCAGCCTTAAGTCCGAGGGCTTATAACGCTAAAATTAAGCTTCGATACCCGTGGTAGGCACAGCACAGATAACCCATTTTAATAAAAACAAAAAATTTAAAATACTTGTCAGCGTTACAATTAACATGCTTTGTACAGATATAGGGTACTTTGTAGCGAATGTAATTGGAGTATTTCTTAATTCCTGGCAATGACTAAAGACATAGGTATAAAGACCTACCTTAGGTTTGAACAAAACTAAAGCCTGAAAACCAGAATATGCCCTGCCGCTGAGCGATGATTCGGGGTCTGGAACTATCGTATATCTTAATTCCAAAAAATAACTTTTAGAAATTACACAAGACTTAAATGTAACAATACGCTTTAACTCTACGAAGACTTTAGGCCTGGATATCAAATTATTTTTCACTCTAAGCAATGAACCTGCCATAAGTCTATCCCATATCTCTCGAGGTCTGGATAGTTAGATTTATCTTAACTCTGGGAAACTATCTGAAACCTAAATAGCAGAGTATGTTTTAAAGCTAAATGTGACATAAAAGCTGGTTTTCAAGATATGTCTTGACCTTGGACAATAATTCGAGGCATGGATGTCGGGGTATTTTTTAACTCTGAGCAACAATTTCGTGATTGATTATTACGAAGTATCTACACACTGAACAATGTGTCGAAGCTTCAATATCAGAATGTATTTTAACTCTTGAAGTATTGACTCGAGACCTGGATATTTCGAAATGTTCTAATTATCGTCAATTTCTTAGTGTTTATTTACCAGAGACTTGGGCAAAAAGTCAAAAAGAGTCATTTTGTAGGCAGTTGATATAGGGAATTGTTGACCTTGTAAATGTGAGGAAATGTCCCACCGTATGTACTCTTGGCACAGTGCCTCGTGTACGTCATGGAATTAACACAAAATTATTCCATATACACACAGTTGTTTGAACAGTCTTACAATATTGTTAGTATAGTAACGGAAAAATAACGCGAGCTCGTGAACTAGTTAGGGGACAAAAGATTGAAGATGTTTTCTATATGGCATTTCTCAGCTCATGTTGTTTTAAAAAGCTACATTTTGTGACTAAATGTGGTTTTAACCATCACTGAATTCATTTCTTCAAATAAGAATGTTATTTATTGAAGTGACACTACGACAACTTTGTCTCAAACTTGCACAGTAATGGTTACTTAATTCCAAGTGTTCTCATCCACAAAATTTAAAATTTGTAGTTTCAAACACATAATAATAATAATAATAATACACGACATTTTTTAATGTCAGAACAATAGAAAAGTTTTATTTTTATTTTGTGTATTGGAATGGTTGACATTTCCCTTTAATCAGAGTTTAGTCAAGGTCCAATGGTAATGATTGAGCATTTGGCTTGTAATAGTTGAGCCAGATGTACACCTGGTAGTTAATTCATTTCACCTGCAACTCATATGAATCACTGTCAGGAGGTATTCAGTTGACGTTTTCTTCATTGTGTCCCATTTTCATGCCAGAGCCTCAGCTAGTGTCTTGCTAATACTATCACAATATATAAACCTTATATTGAATCTTGCATTGTTGTCTAGAACATTTGGTGTCACTGGGACACTTTTTTCAACACCTGACAACAACCTATGTGCTTCTTGAAAGTTCATTACGCTTTGAAACAGTGACTTTTTCCATGTCTAAGGAACCCTGAAACTACATCTGCTTCCCTGTGTGTATGAAGAAGCACAAGAACTTAAGAAACTTCTTTTGAACATAGTGCCTTTCAGCTGAATATGTCTTTCTTCATTTTCAAGGTGAGTACACAGTCAACCTAATGTGATACATATCAAGGTAAGGATTACTATGGAACTATCTTCTGTATCAATTACCACAACATCCTTTACTCCATTATTCCTCAGTTGTGAATAAACATACAGAAGTATCATGACCTGAAACTCTTTAATTTGCACATGTTTATCTTCAGAGGACAGCTACCAGCAGTTGCTCCTCGAAGAATATAGAAATCAGATGGCTGGGTATTGATGTACAAATAGCCTGAATTCACCTTTCAGGAACTGCTGACTATGTCTTTTGTTGGCTGGGTTTTTGAACATGTGGAACTCAGTTAAAGTAAGCAGCTTATAATTACTTTTGATACATATTTTCATAGTCATTCCTGTGTATGATGAACATGTTGTCCTATGTCCATGCTCACTTTATTTGATGCTCATCTCCAAGTCATATGGATCATTCACAAAGATGAACTCGGAAGCTTTGAGGGAGGACAAGTGCAAATAGCTTCTTAACATAATCTGGCCATAGGAAGCCTGTTTCATCATAGTTTTCTTTATTCTCTGCAGAAGGATTGGCAAGCATCTAAATGAATCTCTTGTCTACCAGGACATTGTAGCTACTGATGGGGTGTAGTGGAATCAAGCTAAACTTTTCAATTAATGTTGATTTTTTTGCACTTTAATCATGTCACCAATAGAACTGTCACTTTTGAGCACTTTGTTTTCCGTTGCACTCATCCTCGTTTCAATGATTTTGGTTTCCTCTCTAATAACAGGTGGTATGTTGAAGTTGTAACTTGAGTTTTTGTGAATCATTACATCAAATAATTTCGTAGTTGAAAGCATCTATTTCTAAAAAAATTCATTGACTAGTAATTCACCACCCTCATGCAGTCATTCCAGATTAGAGAGTCATCAGAGTAGACTTTGTAAGGTCAAAAGGATCACATTCAAACACTGTGATGCAACTATCGAGACTCTGTACTGCTTGTTCATTTGTTCTGAATCTGGTGGTAGAATTGTCACTGTGGCATTGAGAGATCTTCATGTTTGTGAGGACACATAGAGAGACTCTAACTCTATTTGCATTTTCAGTGTAAGTCAACAACTTCTTATTTTTCAAAATTCTCATCCAACCGGCTTTCATCTTTGAGCCTTTGTTTATTATAATTTCTATCCATAGATCCAGTAGCAAGCAAGAGTAGGGATTACCTATCATTGATTTTGCAAATGAACCAGCTTGTACTTGACTTTCTTCTCAAACAGATAGCTAATTTCTAGCTGGAAATCATCGAGCCACCTTACATTGTAATAATACGTATGCATCCATGGGAACATCATTCTGAGTGATGCCTTGAATACTTCCCAATCCTGAGCTCTCAGTACATGGATATTCAACATCAGTATGTCAGTCATATACATGACATTTTGCTATTGAACTATTAAAATTTTCAACCATTTTGATTGCTTTCACAACAAGTGAAAATAAATCTTGACCAACCTATAGTTCATTACAGATCATCCTCAGCTATGTTCATGGGATTTTGGAGGGGTTTCTCTGTTTTTCTAGCTTTTGTTGTAGGTCTGGAAACACATGTAGATAACCACTGAGCCCTTTTTTGAATTATTCTGTGAAAATATACCTCATACATTAATTAGTTAGAGACATCTGTTGCTTCTTTTATAATGTTTTTTTGTCATTTGAACCTTCAGTAACCACATTGGCTCCAACAAGAATGTCAATTTTGAATCACTTGGTAATTGCTCATATGAAAGAACACTGTGCATGGAATAGGACTAGGAATGGAAGGATGAGTTCAGTCTATGTAAGATTCACATATTTTAACTGAACAATTGGTGCATAGACTGGCTGGTCTCTAACTAGTTTAACAAACAGCATCAATTTCATTTTCGCTAAACAAACTGTGCAATACTTTACCTTGTGTACTAATGGCTTGTAGGGTGGCTTTAGCAATGTAAGGTAGAAACATATGTTATTTCTGGTCAGGTTCTGGATATCGGCTTGAAATTTAGTAAATGCTCCAGTCTTCAGACTTGTAACTGGAACCTCTTTTCCATTGCTACCGAGATGAGCCAAATAATGGATCATTTTTCTAATACTTTGTTCTTGGGTGCTTTGTGATGAGATGTCAATTTCAGCTCGAACTCATGGTAGGTAACATTTGATCGCCTTATAAGGTTGAACTTGTTAAGAGGCTTTGCAATGGCCTGTTTAATAGTGACATCCTTTGCCTGAGCAAATATCAAATTTGTACTGTGAGATTTATCTGCTTCAGTCAAAGTGTCATCCTGAAAGTCGTCATTGTATAGAATGATAGTTCCAAGAAAATCATTGATAACCTCTTCAGGACAAATGCCATTCTTCTGAAGTTCAAGCTTGGCCTATGAACATTCTGGTGGCTTAGTACAAGTGATAATTCCTTTATCATGTCTATAATTTCATGACTTCTAGTAAGTCTATGAACTGTCATTGATAATTTGGCTTTGAAAGGAGTGGGATTTTTCCCTGTGAGAAATGAAAAGATCAGTGATGACAAACTGCTATCTCAAGATTCTGGAAACATCACTGAAGTCACTAACAGCAGGGTTCTTTTGCCAGGTGAGAAACTTTTGTAACTCAGGATTAGGTTATTTTATGTTCTCAAGCTCATCAATAGGTGGAAGCCAGCTCATACCTAAATCACTTGATAACTTTTTATTAAACACCTTGCAATGGTATTCAGTAAACGTTCATTGCTCACAGCCCCCTGCAGATGTGACATACACTATATTACTCGTTATTTTTATGCAAATGATCATTAAATCCGATCCTGCTTACAATTTCCTTTTAAACCATCTGCTTAATTGTGCTTGATTTTGTCTCACTTGTATCATAGCCAAAATTCATAAACAGGTTATTGTAGTTCACGTCAGGAGTCTTTGCAATGTTCTTGGTTCATTCACATCCAATACAACTATTTGTACATGTTTGAAGAACATTTCTTGATCTTCTGCTTGGTTAATCTGTTGTATAGTAGACCTGAATTAATGTTTTTATCTTGGTGGTATATTGTTGAGACACAATTTTTTCCAACAAAAGTGATTATACTGAATCTCGGCAGCAAAAAGATCTGTTGTACAATAAATTAGTAAAGATACGGTCATGCATTGTAGCATCTTTTAGGTACACTGAGTGAGCCTAGAACGTGTGCCATTTGTTGAAGAGGACACTGCTTTTTTCTGAATGGATGTAATTTGTCTTTTGGATTCACGTACGATATACATAAGTTATTATCTTTTAGAGGACCTCTCCATGGGCCAGTGGAATTTTCAGGAAACTTTCATGTTCAGATCAGAATACAAGGGTTTCTTGCACCTGTTGTTTCTCTTCCATAGTTTTGGCTTGGTGAAGCTTCGTTTTACTGATGAAGCCAGTTTTGCATAACTGATGAAAAACCATGCCAGTTGCATCATCTTTCCAGTTTATTTTCTCACAAACACTTCCATATTTATCCAACTCCTCCTCATTTCAGTGTTAGACACTTCAGTTTTTTCATAAATTGAGTAATCACATTCTTTATAAAAATAGACACATAGTTCTTCAGTTGTCTTACTAATCTTCCTCTTCTTTTCTCTCGGCAGTTTTACTGGTTTTAACATCTAAGTAGATATCTTTTCAATCACAGAACTTCACTTGGACACACCAGCAAAAAGAGAAAAAAATAATTAAACACCTAAAAAATTGATACATAAATACATACATATATATATATATATTAATTCCTTGACTTTCAAAACTTCCAAACAGACAACTAGGAGCCGAGAATGGCACTTTAGAGATGTTGATGATCATTTCGAATTTGGCCATTTGATGGAAATTCATCAACTTTTGAAGAGGATCCCTTAAGCCCATCTTGTTTAGGACCATTTATTCATATAAAAACCACTTTCAAACTTTTGTTTCCATGTCAAGGACTCCTATTATTTTACCTTTATCGGATTAAGTTCTCACACATTATTATGAAGCCAAACCTCTACATATTTTCATTTGATCACATTTTAAATGAAATTCTGGAATGTGGTTTGTACATGTTATTGTGGTAAAATATATATGTTTCACATAGTAATGCCCCCCTCTCCCAACAGTGGGGCAGCTTATGTTCACAGACATATAATGCTGAGAACCTTCATTAAAGTTCTTATGGTAGACAGTATGCAGGTAGCCCATTGTGTAGCTTAGCATGATGGAAACAGCAACATATAGTAACATTCTGATTTAAGTAATGTAAAATGCCAATTAGGCTACAGTATTGTTGATTTGATTATTGAGTTAGTGAGCTTGCTACTCGGTTTGTCTGTTACTTCAGTTTTGTGAATATTGATTTTGTGTTTTAAATGAAGCATTTCGAGAAATGTTCCTTCCCTCAATGGCTCAGCGGGGTAAGCCCACTTGCTACAACACTAAAAGCAAGGTTTCAGTACTCATTGTGTTTCTTTGGGCTTAACAACAAACAAACTTACTTGAACGAGAAAGTGCTGTGGGTACTAATGAAAATTAGAAAATAATTCGGTGAACTTAAGGTTAATACATTAGAATTGTAAAATTTGCAGTCCAAGGAATAAAACACTTTTTTTATCATTAAGTGGAATGTACTTTGCATTATTTTTTTATAACAAATAGTACAAAAGAGACTGTCCAAGATAGAATCCTTTACAATGCTAGAATCAGATGAACTTGAAGATGGTGACACGTGCCCGAAGCTAGATTGAAAATTTAATGAAAATGATTAAACTGTGAAAAGAAGATTGAGAAGAAAGATAAAGAAAACCAAGATGGAAAAAAGAGAAAGGAAATTAAAAGAAGATTTAGAATAAAGAAACTAAACATTGGAAGAGAGAGATGGAAAGTTAAAAGTGTAATTATAAGAATGAGATTTCTAATACAATTACAAACAAAAATAAATTTAATCTAAAACAAGATTGAAGAACCTATAGAAAATGTACCAACTGAAATTGGAAAAGTCATAGATGTACAGAAATATTATAACAAGATCAATGATGTACAAAAAGACAACAATGAAGTACAAAATGACATCTATGGTGTACAAAAGAACATCAATGATGTACAGAAAGATTATAGCAACAAAACCAAAGAAGCCTTAGAAAATATATAAAGAAGGACACCAATGAAGTAAAAAATTGCATCAACACCTGCTACATTTTTGTGTGCATCTGCTCAAGGATTCAAATCCCAAACACTATTAACTATGCAATGTGGAAGAGAAGAACACACATCTTGTCTGTGATTGTTACCACTAATGTTATGCCACCTTTGATTGCAGGACCTTTCTAGACTATTCCACCTACAACACTACTTCATCAGTTTACAAAATTTAGCAGGACAATTCAAGAACATTGCCTAATTAGAAGCCAACAAGTTACAGTGATAAAGTACCAAAGAATAATGCCCAATATAAGTTAATGGAGCAATGAACGACAAAGGCTATATTTTCCTAAACATTTAAAATGACCAGCTTTAACAATACTAAGCAGTCTTTCAAAAAATGTCAGAAAACTACCAGTCATTGGTGGCCACCTTATCAGTAAGATTTAGAGTGTAACATCAGAAGAAAGCTTCAAAACTTAAAAGAGAGCAAGGAAGAAAAAAAGACCTTACCCGAACTTGCTGAAGATGTGTGAAGACTTGTCCAATTATCTTATCCAGATGTTCCAAGTGAAATAATGTATTTGTTGGCTTATGACCAACAAATAGATGCCATAGTTGATGAACATATGTGAATTAGGCTAAAGTAAAGGAAATTAATTAATATTATCTTCTGATCAAACAAGCAACTCATGGAGATCAGAACTAAACATGTTTGCCTAGTAATGGAATATAATGTTCAAACTACGTTACTTAAAATAACAAGAATGCATTGTTTCATCAGTTGTATACAAATGCTATTAACAATGTTTTTGATCATATATCTTTAAAGGAAGCTGTTTGGTTAGTGATAGAACTTGAATATATTAATGTTGCAGATAAACAGCTGTAAGCACTTTCCAGGAATTATGGGATCATCAGATGAAATAGTGTGAAAACATGAACTCTCTCTCATGGAAGTCCAATAAAATTCTAAATATTAAGTAGAGAACTTGTTATTCATAATGGAAGAAATACACTTAAACGTAAAGGAACATATTGCCAGAAACTGCATACCAAATTCTGTAAGAAATAAAAATTGGTTTTAAAGGCTGTAGAAAAAGACAACTGTTGTGAGTTGTAAAACATGCATATTACAGCTGAGACTGTTGCAAATTAACAGATAATAATAAACCAAGAAAGCAGTATCGTGAGGATGAGCTTCTGAGCCCAAACATATCTAAGAAACAAAAAAAACTAAAAAGGCATTATAAAGTAGAAACAACTGGGCTTAAAGGGCGAAATTTATCTGGGAATACTCCATCTGCCCTAGTTGTGATAAAAAGTTAATTATATATATATATGTCAACAGTACACGAGTTAATGAGTCTATGATAAGGAAAGCCTTGTGCATTACACTACAGTTACAACACACCACAAGTTAAACTTCCAGGGACAACAAAGATGGAAATACAAGATAACTAACCTAAAGTGAAGCAGCATAGAATCCAGAATTATGGAAGTTTATGGTTAATGTACAATTGTTTTCTTTGTGTAATAGGATTGTTCAAGGGGGTTTACAACCCAAAGATAGGACAGTACTGTAGACTAAGAGTATTTTAATTCAGGCATTTGTATTGTTTTTTGTTTTTTTCTAGCTAGGGGAGTTTGACATTACGTGATGAGTGTGTGTGGCTTAATGTCTGGGATCTACTATAGCCTAACCGACGTTTTATATCAATTAAATTTTGATTTGATTTATCGAGTTTGTTCATCAGTTTTTTGTTAATTCAGCTTACTGAACAATGATTTATTACTTTAACTAAATACTAGAGATACGAGAAAGTGTCATAGGTACCAGAGAAAATGGGCAAGTAATGAATTTTTAGAGTTACTTAGAACTTAAGCATTTTGCTTGGTGAATGTTAGTTAAATATGTGAAGTTTTTGAACTCGTAGTCGAAGAAATAAAATGTTTTCTTTATGATTAAGTGGACTGGACTTAAGAACCCTCATAAAAATAGAAGCCATTACAATATTACTATTATTGTTGGACAAGTGTGCGTGTTTTTTTTTTTACAAATTTGTATATGCTATTAATATAGAACCATATGTGTGATCTGTGAATGTTATTATTGTGGCATCATTTTTGTTTTGTAATCTGAGAAAGTCTCCAGAATGAATTGTATAATTAAATTGTTTACGGTATAGTGTGTTTCATATTATGATGTTAATATACTGAGGCCACGTTTGTTTGTTATTGTGTTATTTAGTAAGAAATTCAGCAAATGTTATTTTAAGAATATATCATATAGAATATTGTGTGATATTTTATTTTTCAATAGTGTTATTAACATACATTATAATTAAGTTACTTTGCAAAATATATTTCTAGATTATTGTAAAACCCCAGAACAGAGTATGAGAGAGTCGCAACTTCTGCATCACATCATACAAAACGTCTCTCACAGAGATACAATGTTAGTAGATCTTCACGTTGAAAAGCTCAGGTAGATATTGGCGTCTTTTATTTTTAGTGATTCAATGATATTATAACACCCTTCCTTACTCTTCTCTTTAAATAATAACTTATTATTTTCTTCATCCATTCATCATTGTTTCATATATTAACTTCTTAAAATTGAATTCTTTGGTTCAACGAATTTTTATTGTTATTACTACCTAATCTTAGTTAGTGAGAAGACCTGAAATTTCGACATTTGTAAATTAGTTACATTAGAATTTAAGTTTTAGCCGAAAATAAATATACAACTATGTAAAATTGTTTCTTATGTGTGTAATATTTATGAAATTGAGACGTTTATAACTTGTATACATAGTATATTACATTTTACGATATGTAAGTTAATAGTTATAAAATATGTTAAATCTAAGTAACTCTTTAAAAGTATATACACACTGTTAGATCTACTGCAAAATTTGGAACAATAACGATACTATAATTAATTCATTTTTATAAACAGTATGCCTTTATTTTGCTCTATATATCTTTTGAGGATCTTTTTAACAGTGACAAAGTTCAGCTGTTAGATATTTTAGGTGAAAAATGTTTCTACCTTTAATTATGGGTTTGAAATGAATTGAAGTTGATATGTTGCTAGCAAGGAATTATTTTGTTTTTTGCTTATTTTTGTCAGCAAAATTAGCTTCAAGTAAACAAGTATCTTTAGAAATTACATATACACATTAAAGTCAAAGAATGATATTTCCTCAAAAACATCAAAATAATAAGGGACATGGTCTTGTGATAGTAGATAAAAGGTAATAGTAATACTAATAGTCTCGATTTTGCTTGTTTATAGAGAGATTGAAGAAGACGAGAAGATTGAAGAAGATTACAGAATACAAAAGGCTGGTGAGTGAATTATCAAGAAAATCCATCTTTGAATCACTTTCTGAAAAGTAACTTTTAAACCACTTAGAATTTTTATAGCTGATCTATTCCCAACATTATCAACATGAAGAAAAGCTGAAACTACGACAAACGTGTATGCATGCAAATCTCAGGACACTATTGCCATATGCTCTTTCTTTGTGATATTCATTTTATTGTAGATTATACGTTTGCCTCATTTTATTAAGTTTGATTTCCATTTAAGTACTTGTTTACTGAAATACTAGTTTCATTCTCTCTTTTTTCAATTTTCTTTGGTAATGCCAAATAAATTGTAAATGGAAAAATATTGTGGATTGGTAGTGAAGTTATAAAATGTTATCCAATACATTTACACAACATCTTCTTTTATTAGAAAACTGTGAACCAAAACTAATGTTTGCTTTATCTATTGTAATCCTCGGTGCCTTTTTTTTTCTTCAGAATACAGGGTTGAGTACGTTATATTAAATTATTCTGACGCCATCGAAAATTGATTGCTTTTGTAAAGGGTATGCAATAGTTCTTTCGGACCCAAAGTTTTTGTATAATTAGACCGGGGATTTATAATTTTCAAGACGGGAATATCCGATGCACTTAATGGCATTCGAAAGCAAAGAAATTTGGATCAACTTGGGAACTCGGGACCATCCAGAAACAGACCTGCAACAAGTTATACCACATCCATGGTAAGCAAAATGTAGTGTCTTGTATCAGTGAGGATCCACGAACATAGATTCCAGTGGCAAAAGCTGCCCACATGCCCCAGACAACAGTACGAAGCATAATCAAGAAGGATTTCTATCTGGAAATGAGGCCAACATGATACGGGTTCACCAAGATAAAACTTCCAGACTAAAAATCGAGTGTTCTAACCACCAGGCCATGTCAGGCACTGGAAAAACCGTCGTCTTCCTACATTGCATGAATTATGGAAAGCAATCAGAGATGATTGGTGTGCTTTAGAAATGACATACTTATGATGAATCCCTTTGCAATGAAAATTATGCTTCGAAGTTATCGTCAAAATGCAGGTTCGTCGGATAGAGCGTGACCAGACATGATGACATGAACTGTAACGACGTAGGAGGCACAAAGTCGTTTTAATATAACTTACTCAGCCCTCTATATAATATCAATCATTATTACAGAAACGCCTCTCTGTTCGGTCAGGATCTTGGCAAGATGAACGATGTGCTTCTCTGTCACGAAATTGCTCCTGACTTCTCCTAACTGCATCTTGGCGAGATGAACGATGTGCTTTTGTATTTCGAGTTTGTTCCTGGCTTCTTCTTATTGGATCTTGTCTTATAACTTAGTGAGCAAGCCTATCTGCTTCTTATTCTTTCCTTCTGTAACTTGCATCCTGACGTTTCATTTTCTTTCTCAAAGTTTCAGACTTTCTCCATGATAAGTTATTTTTCCGTTTGGCAATTTTTGGCATCGTGATTTTCGATGTTTTTGATCACTTTATACTCATACTGAAATAAAAAAAGTACTGGTGTAACTTACGAAGATCAAGTAACCACAAAATTTCTGCAAATGTGTATGCAACGAATTCCGTACCAAGGACTTGCGATTCCTTTGGTCACAGAACAATTCAGAAGTTTTATTAAAAAGATTAATTTCGTTGATAATAATAAATGTACAAAATTAATGTACATTATTAAACAGGAAAGAAGTACCATTCCTCCATTAAGGAAGTGATTTAGGGAATAAGGTCCTATTATTTTTCTAATTTTAGCGAGGGTCTATTTTATAACATTTTTCATATTGGTGTGATATAAAGCTGTTATTGATATATTACTTATAAAAAATGGACACATGCACTAAATAAACTTTTTATAGGAGACCCAGTTGTATTGAAACTTTGTTAGGAACATCCTCTTGTGATGTTGAAAAATGTTGCGAAGTTTCATCCAAATCGGACTTAAACTGTGGGAGAAGTTTTACGAACAGACGGACATTAGCCTCTTCTATATATATATATATATAGAGAGAGAGAGAGAGAGAGAGATTATTGACCTTTTTAACCCTGAATTAATTCGTTACTCTTACAATGATTTTCTACAATATTTCAAGTTCATGTGACATTATACCATTGAAATGAAATTTGGCGCTAAATATAAAGTTCAGAATCAACGATTAGTTTCGGGAAATATTTTATAAAATGCTACATCTGTAGCTGTTATAATAAAGATTCTTGCAAATCCTTCGGCCCTCGGGATTATGCATAAGGCCACTGAAAACTAAATGTCTTTCCCTCCCCCGAATAGTTTTTTTTTCCAGTAATATCATGTAATGGTGCAGTTAATTTTTGCATACATGTTCCGTACGGATCTGATACATTCCGTACATATTTTTGCCGCTCTCTTGGACCCCAATGGAATATCCCCTTCCTCCACACTCTCTCGGTGGGCGTGATTATTCATCAAAGTATAGAAGTTTATATAACTTTCATATTTAGTTTCTCAACCCCGCGAAACAGAATTTATTGGTTTCTTTTTCGAAATTATAAAATGAACATAACAAGAGTAACAGTTTTTATAACTAACTGCGATGTAAAAATATTAGTTTCGCAACTGATGTGACCTGGCATGGCCTGGTGGTTAGGGCGCTCTACTCGCAACCTGAGGGTCGTGGGTTTGAATCCCGTCACCGAACATTCTCGCCCTTTCAGTCGTGGGGCCGTTATATTGTAACGATCAATCCCACTATTCGTTGGTAAAAGAGCTGGCGGCTAAGGACGGCTAGCGTAAATTCAATCCAAGCCACTTGGTGCAGTACGCGCGAGAATATCATCTGTTTAGTGCATAGGTCAAGCGTGACGTGTGTTCTGTTATAGTTTCCAACATGGTTGAATCACAATGACTGTTTTTCTGTCTATCGTTTTGTTACTGCAGTGTCAAGTACGACAGCTGTTCTAGTCTAGTTTTTACTACTGTGGTGCCAAGTACGGCAGTCGTTCTAAACTAGCTTTTTAGTAGTATTGTGCCAAGTACGGCAGTTGTTCTAATATAACTTTTTACTATTGTTGTTCCAAGTACGGCAGCTGGAAGCTGTTCTAGTCTAGCTTTTTACTACTACAGTGCCAAGTACGGAAACTGTACAAGTCTAGTTTCTTACTGTTGTGGTGCCAACTATGACAGCCGTTCCAGTCTATCTTTTTTATAACTGTGGTGCCACGTACGGTAGTCATTCTAGTCTAGCTCTTTACTACTATGACGCCAAGCACAACACCACTCTCTTCTAGTTTATTATTACCAATGGGACAGGTATAGTGTAGCTTCCACAACGTGTGATAACTGTTTGTTATAACTTTCAGATCGGTGTAGAATGCACGATAACAGTTTTAAATTAACTTCCTTCAGTGCTGTACCATATGTGACGGCTGTTCTGTTACGAAACTCAGAACATGTTATAATTAAGTACGGTAGTACTCAATAGTAGGGATCGTCATTAAACTAAATGGTGGCCTTAAAATCGCCCGTTTAAAGTCACCTTTAAAATATCTGAATATTAACGATGACTATTTCATAGTATTGACTGAACAAAACTAAAGCTTATTGTACTTATAAAGCCTCCTAAATCGCTATATACGTGTTTATGGAATGAATCAAAATTTCACTATTTAAACGAATTTCGATCTAAGTAAGTAAGTGACTTTTCCTCACAAGCGTACAGAAGAAATGACGAACCTTATCGCTCTACTTCTTTCACAGAAATCCTATTTTTGGGGTCAGTCTTAACTTTCTCTATGAAGTTCAAGTTATTCACTTGGAAAGAATTAAACTGTTCTCACAATTCACATATCTTTCTCTATCTGGGCCACATTCACAACCCGTATTGGGGCCTGCTATAGAAACTAGAACCAAGAGCAAAATTTAGCTCATGACCTGTAACGGATTTCCTTGTTCCGAATTAGAAACTAGAAAAAAAAGTTACAAACTTTATTACTGAAACTTAAATAAACTTTAATATATATAAAGTTTGGTATATTTCGTATATAACGTTCAGTTTTCAATAATACATAGTTGTATGATTGTAGTAAAACCTGTATAATAACTTTTTTCGACGCCTTACTAATGAAATGGGTATATTTTACAATTTCAGAATGGGACAAACTTGTGACAGCCGACTCTGGATCGACATCTGGAAGTCAAAAGGAGAACCATTCATGTAGCAAGTTTAACAATATGAAAACAAAGTTTCGAAGGATAATGAAAAAGTGTATAATACTATAATGCATTAATGAAAGCTGTCAGAAATTTGTATATATTTTTGAATTAATAAATAGATATACAAAAGAAAAATAATAACACTCGATTATCTATATGATAAAATATACCTGGAGAAACAGAATCGTGTTTATAAATTCTCATTGCATACATTCTGAGCTACCCTAAATGTATTAATGAAAGTTATATATTTTATACGCTATCTTATTTTGCAGTAGTTGACATTATTTGTAATTTCAAATTCGATGACGAGGAACCCACTTTGAGACAAATAATGGCTGGAGACGGCTTGAATGGGTAATGAAGAAAAACTTTAAGATAAGTTTAACATAACAGCAAATGTGCAACGTTTCGACAAGGTTTTGTCATCATCAGGTACAAGTAATTGACACTGACACGGATATATATATACAGTATTGAACAAAGAGGTCACATGACCGGAACTGTTGTGAAACTTAGAAGAGGTATCTAGGCACCCCGGGGTGTTAGTTTAGAGTAGGGTTGTTTTGTTCAATTAAGATGGATTCCTTGATTTTTCGTTTATTTATGTTAGGTTCTTTGTTTAAAATGACTTTTTAATAGATATACTATGGTTTTTTGAGTTGCAATGGTGAAAAACATGGTCTCTACATCCCCTGGAATTCCGCTCGTGACACCACACAAAAAATCAATACACTTAAAAACCTCATAAACACAGCCACAAGACTCTGTTCAACGGACTACATAAATGAAGAAATTAACCACTTAAAGCATTATTTTATTCACACCAATAAATTCCCACCAGCTACAGTTGAAAAGCTCTCCAACATTCCCCACAATAAAACTCAAC